AGGAGAGGACGCTTTGGTGGCTGGTGAGGTGGGGTCCCAGGCCTAATGAGCATTTATTACACGGAAGCTATAGTCTGAGTCAACAAGGAGGAATTCCCCGCTAGGGGCAGTTTCTCAAGGGGGAGGGGAAATAGAGCATTGGATGGCTTTGAAAAACAGAGCCTGGAATTTGGGGTCTGGAGTCATACTTCCTGTGTCTGGGTTTGGGTTCTGGATATCCGATTCTAGATCTGTCTTGGATTCTGAATCTGGAAGTCTCAAGCTTGGTATTTATGACCCAAAATCTGGAGGATGGATTTTGAAGTCTGGATTCAGGGTCTGGGATCTGGATCCTGGAATCTGGCCTTCAAGTGGCAGGTCTCAGGCTTGGATTCTGGATCCTCAGTGTTGGAATCTAGAGTGCAGACTAGGAGTCTGGAGTCTGGTGTTTAGAATCTGGGATGTTAGGTCAGGATCGTTTGTACCTGGTGCAAGAAGCCTGGGGCCTGAAGTACAATGATGGTGTTGATTCTGGGGTCTGGATTCTAGAGTCTGGGTATAGACTCTGAGATTTGGAGTCTGAAGTCTGGAGTTCTAAATCTGCATTACATATTTTTTAAAACGTTTTTTTTCATTCATTTATTTTAATTTTACCAGAGAGAGACACACACACAGAGAGAGAGAGAGAAATGAGAAAGCAAGCCACCACGTGCAGGACTCGAATCGTGGATAGCCATGTGGGAGTGTCCAGCGCCTTAACCACCACGCCACCTGCTGGTCTCCTGCATTACATTTTTTAAAAATTATTTTTAAATTTTTTAGAATTATTTTATTCAACTTTATTTATTTATATTTATTTATTTAAATTTGACCAAAGAGGGACAGAGTGAGAGAGAGAGAAAGTGAGAAAGCAAGCTGCCAGGTCCAGGACTCGAACCACCGTCGGCCATGTGGGAGTTCAGCGCCCTTACCACCATGCCACCTGCTGGTCTCCTGCATTACATATTTTTTATTCTTTTTTTAAAATTTTATTTATTCATTCAAGAGAGTGACACACATGGAGAGAGAGAGGAAAGTGAGAAAGCAAGCCGCCAGGTCCGGGACTCGAGCCATGGTCAGCCATGTGGGAGTGTCCAGCACCTCAACCACCATGCCACCTGCTGGTCCCTCCTGCATTACATTTTTAAGAGGCTGGGCTGGGAGATGGGGGCCTGGCTCCCATGATTCCGAGATTCCTGGAATCTTGACAGAAGAGTATGAATTTAGAGACTGGAGCTTGGGCGTATCTCTTCTGGAACCTGCTGTCTTATTTCTGGGCTCTGGAACTTGAAATCTGCATTCTATATTCCGGAGGCAGGAGCTTCACTGATGGTCCAAGGCTCTGTATTTGAGAGGGAGGTTTCTAGTGTCTAGGAACCCTGAAAAGCCCCAGCAGCTGCCTAGAGCCCACCCCGGCTTGTTTAAGGAAGGAGGAGGTGCAGAGAGCAGAAGGAACTGACCTCAGGTCACACAGAACACGGGG